AATTAATTTGTTTGGAAGTAAAGGGAAAATTTGCAGTAATAGTTTCAAAAAACAATTCAGTCTTGATGTTTTGATTTGAAGTTTCATTCAAAATATTAATGGACTAAAAATATTTTTTCAGTGAATAATTTTATTTTTCAAACCAATCTTTTGATTTGATCTGTATGTCAAGCACTTCAATTCTAATTTTTTGATTTTTTTAAATATTTAAGTAACTGAATTTTCTAGGTCTAGGAACAATTTACGATGAAGTTTTCATTGTTGCAATCCATATTCTGGTTTGCTTTCAAATAATCGAATTAGATTTCAAAATGTATCTTCCGTTTCGTTCAAAAATTTTTTTGTAGTGAATCACGGGTAATTGAAAATATTTAAATATTTCATCTGCAGTACAAAATTTCGCTAACACTTATAATTTTTAAAATATGTTTTTTATTTTGATTTTTTTTTGAACAACCTATCAAGGAGGTTACGTATAGCGCCATCTGCCCCCGAATAGATCAAGCAATAATTGATAGTTACGTATCTGCCTGCGAATAAATCAAGAAATATCAATCTTTAGACAATGCAATGAGGTTACGTACAGCGCCATCTGCCCGCGAATAGACCAAGCAATAATGCCAATAATTCTGTCAATACAGATCGCGAGCTTGAGAGTTACAAACAAACATAGGTACATACAAACTGATTTTCTTTTGAACAACCTATCAAGGAGGTTACGTATAGCGCCATCTGCACGCGAATAGCTCAAGCAATAATTGATAGTTACGTATCTGCCCGCGAATAGATCAAGAAATATCAATCTTTAGACAATACAATGAGGTTACGTACAGCGCCATCTGCCCGCGAATAGATCAAGCAATAATGACGATAATTCCGTCAATACAGATCCCGAGCTTAGAGTTACAAACAAACATAGTTACATACAAACATACATATAGGTGAAGATAATATAAAGCGTGTGATAATAATAATAAAAAACAAAGATAAATATTGTTCATTATTCGACAAACTTTTCATAAGATCACTTTGCATATTTGGAATAGGAATGTATTCCAATTCTGAAGAGTTGTAGTTAACCTGTCGAAATCAGAGTTAGTAAATTTAACGTTTTCAAAATTTATTGTTGTTCAGAAGTCTCATGATTTGTAGGATAGAAAAGTGATATTTCCAGATCATTACTGAAGTGTTGAAATAGCAATTTTTCTATACTTTTCAACTGTACATAATAGCTGCCTAGCAGGCTGTAAGTACAGTTTATCGCCATCGTTACACTATTTGCGCCGAAGCCATAAACACCTATACGTTACGCTTTTGATGAATAACAATGTAAAAAGTGAGAGTTTGAAACACGAGCGTTGTTGAAACACTTCTGATCAGCCTATTTCTGTTTAAAATCTATTTTTCCGTTAACCAGCTGTCGCACCCCTACGAACGATAACCCTCAGAAATCGAAACTTGTGCGAGCTAAGGATTAACGAGGTCTTACCTTTTAACGTGTGATTCCTAACACGAGTTGGCCGATAGCAACTGAAAATCGATCGTTCAGCCTGGTGCTTGAACCAACGACCACCACGGCGATCAATTCGAGTTAGTGAACAAAGCACACACGTCGAACCGACCGGCTATTGATGTACTAAGATATCTGTGGTAGCTATGGTTTGTTTACAAACAGGTAATGTTTTCACATAGTTACTCAAATGAAATAAAAAGACCATGACGATATAATGAATTCTGACAAAAATAATGAATTCTGAAAAAACCCTTCACCAGAAAAATCCTGAGCCTATAGAAATAATTTCGACTAGTGCAAAAATATATTTACTTTTCATATTGGTGTTGAAACGGTCATGTTTTTCATATCAAAATCACAAGTGAAAAACAGATTTTAGTCGTCAGTATCAAAAACAAAGCTACTGTGGGAACTTGGTTATAGGTACCTATATTTGAACTTCAATGTGAACCAATTTTATTATTTGAATTTTGGAGCATATTCTTCTTAGTTATTGACTGGAAAATTTCAATAGCATTGAAAGGTTAATTATTTCGAGAGGAAAATTAATGACACAAAATAATATTTTACTGTTAACATTAAAAAAAACATTTTTTCAAACAACGAATGTATATTCTCAGATAATAAAAAATCATCGTAAATGAAACAGTACAAAAATATTCTCAGGCAATAAAAAATCAACAAATTTAAAACAACTCAACCAGAATATATTATAAAAGCTCATCCACTTTCATAAAATTTTAAAACTAAATAAGACTAGACACAATTCATAAATAAATAACTAATGAATAAATAGCTTTATTTTCCTGTAGACAACAAAAGTATAAGGAAGAGTACCAAATTACAAAAGAGCACTAATATGCAACAGTAAACAAAAGAATCTAAAAATCAATGATGTACACATGCCCAACACTTTGCTGAATTCTATCATGTAGATATAAGAAGGAATATTGTTAGAAATGAATTAATCATATTTTGAGGACTCCTTAGAAATAGCATCCAGAGTACCTGGTGTACTGAGTGATACTAATACTTCTCGTTGAAAAAAGTGGCTGTATCTGTTAGTTGACAAATTATCAACATCTTTTAAGAGATCTTGGTCGTCGGAGAAATTGAGTATTTTATAAAGTTGTAAAGTCTCAATATCATTCATTGACAAATTAAACAGTAAAGGTAAGCAATAAACATCCCGTGTGACTCCTTATGAAACCAATATCATTTTTTTTCTCAAGGTACACCTCTTTCCCCACCTCATCAGTTTCAGTTTGTGGTAACAGTCCGTCATGAGACCTTGATTGAACCCAACACAGATTATGTGCTGCAACATATGCAGTAGAGAAATAGCAAAATGTTCTGATGTGAAAATCTCACTAATAAGGGAGAGCGCCGCTTTTTTCTTTCGGATTCGTAATCTACGCATCAAAATACGTAAGTACAGTCAAAAATTTTTTCAAAATCGCCGGGTGTCCAGATAACGAAAATTTACCGATGTTATGATGCATTGCTGTTATGATGCATTGTGTTTATGATGCATTGTGTTTATGATCGAATGATTATGATGCGTTACCGTTATGACGGAGTACGTTATGAAAAAGTACGTTATGATGAAGTATATTATGATGAATTACGTTATGAAACTGTACATTATGCCGCTGTACGTTTCTATCTTGTACTATATAATCAATTGCGATTTCTATCGTTTGACGTTATGATGGAGTAAATTTCTGTGTATTACGATTTCTATCTTGTACATTATGATGCATTAGGTGTCCCCTTCCCATTCGATTTGGCAGGTTAACGGGGGCAGGTGTGCGACGCAAGCACTCTCTGGTGAAATAAGAGCGTAGTTAACTTGTACGAACGTTCGGTCGAATGCAACCGATGGCCCCGTCACTAGGTTAGCTACAATTAGATGATGTAAGGAGGAAACTCCGGATTCGGTGAGCGGAAGGAAGCCCTGCGAAATCCTGTTGGCGTGGTTCGAGGGGCGGTACCCGCAAGGATTTCCAGAAAATCCACCCCACCACGCCTGACTGCATTCAACGCCAGGGTGTGTCCTTGGAGGCCTAACCGGCCCCCAGATCCACCGGTGCGGTCGTAAACATGATATAAATGAACCCGCTAGGGCTCTCTATATATATATGTGTCTTTGTCTAACCATAGAATACCTTATTGACGGGACCTCTGTGGACGGGACAGAAACCATGGACTTTTTGACAATATCGAGGTGATTATTGTGAACCTAAATATTTTGTTGAGTTGTTAGGTAACGTGATGATAGTGAAATAAAGCTAGTTAGGTTGAAATATAAGTTTTGTAAGTTTCAAATAGTTAGAATTGATCGCTAAGATAGCATTAAACGCAAATTATAGATCACAAAAACTTAATGCCTCGTCATCAAAGTGATTTCAGATGAGTCTCCATTCTGTAAGGTATTCTGTGGTTGTATTCCAAGGTCTAACCTCTACCCTCAGAGTAATAATAAGACATAAGTTGCTATGCTTATACGGTGCCTATACCAATACAATACATGTATTTTGAAGTGGATATCGGACTATCTTTTTCTGTACAACTTATGAGCGAGGGGGGGTGGCGGATAATGAGAGGTTAGGTTAGGTTATACATTAGGTATATATATAAAATAAATCATTTCAGGTGAAAATGTATTCTGTTCGAATAATTCCTACAGAAAATCTGATTTATTATTAATGATTATGGACATGAGGCCAGTTGTTTTTCCACCTACTAGATTTTTATTTATGTATAGCTTTATAATAAAGCGCGTGGTTTACTGGGTAAAAATTAAATTATTTCAAATGAACTAATTCATAACAATGATAAATGTTAATTTCAAAAGTAATGAACTTTGCTTCATGAAAGCAGATGAAGAAATTTGTGATATTTCATTCAAAATTGGTATCCAGGGGTCTTTGTGGACTGACATTATGTTTTTTTTTCAATAATTCATGCTGACGAATTCTATAATCACGAAAAAGCATTAATGTAAATGAAAAAAACTGTATTCAAACATGAATGATATGTTTATCATATGTGTGCTATAGGTCATATTCATTCTTTGATCAACAGACTAAAAAGGTTTCTGCTCAATGTTCAGTTTGTATACTAAATAGTTATTCTTGTGTAACCGGTGTTGAATTTGTTAGTGCTCACTTAACAACTAACTTACTAACACACAAAGAATATGATTTCCGTTTTGGGTTTTCTTTCTTTGCACGAGGCTCTCGAGTTGCATATAGACAATATTCAATAAGAAATGACGGTTGTCATTTTTCTAACCTTTTTTTCAGAATACATTTTCACCTGAAATGATTTATTTTATAAATATATAATATCCCTCCGATTATCAACTAAACCAACCGCCACTGTTTTATGGTCCAACTTACTTCCTGTAAACAAACAAAGTTATGCTGCCTTCAATGTAACGACGGAAAAGGCATCTCTATTGTCCTTTGTTACTCTGAGCCTCTAACCACTAACTACATACCACATTCAGTAGAAAAACATTACCAACGAACAAAATTCCAGGTTTTATAACCTTTAAATTTCATTTCGTATTTTAATAGAAAACTGAGATTATTTTTTGATTTTGCTTTCAATTTGCATTAAATAATCGTTTTTGTGAGAAATAATGTCTCTTCTAAAGAAAATTGTTGGGCCTTCTTTACAGTTCAATAGAGGTATAAAGAAACGATTGTTCAATTGGTATGGAGAAGGCATTCAGTATCCTGGATTTAAATATTATCCAAGGTAGAGAATCCCTACAATTGTCAAAAAAATATATAGGAACAATTTTTTTCAGAAAACCTGATTTTCAAGATCCTCCATATGAAGCGACAAAACTGTTTCGAGTGGAACGTATAAAACCATTAAAAGGTGCTCCATACTGGGAGAAACAAATCTTGAAAGAATTCAAGCTTGATGGAAAGGTACAATGAACGGATTTGGATTTTTTCATAAATTAATTCAAACTAAACTTTCAGACAAATTCATTTGTAATCGTGAAAAATATTCCTGAAAACAATCATCGGTTATGGAGAGTGAAACATATGATCAAAATAACACCTATAACTTATCCTGACGGATTTCCTGAAAATGATGATGTTACTTTTCTTGAAGATACTGGTAAATTGAGAATAATTAAAAAAATTTCAACACTGGATGAAGCGAAATTACAATTGACTGAAAATTTCCAAAAGGATTTGAAAAAATTAGATGGCGATACTTTGAGGAGACATTCACGAAAAAAATGGTTGAGTGGATGGGACACACTGTGTTAATTCACCAAATGATATTCAATGTTTGTTTTCTTCAAATTAATTACAATGGATAAATCTATAAAATTTATCAATATCTACAGAAACCATATACATGATATGCAATAGGTTCAGTGTAATGATACACATCAAGCATTGTAATGAAAATATATGAGATAGTTGTGAGACCTAAAAAATTCTTATTTAATAATTTTTTGGGTGTTATCAGCATCGACTACTTTGGTGTCCTGGATAGGCAATGTTAATAACTCCCCGAGTCACCTAGGGATCATCATGGCTATTCGCAGTTCGTCAGCCATGTAACGTTGCAGAATAAAATTCTTCAAATTAAATTTAGATATGAGACATTCTTTGAAAAACATTTTGTGTGGAGGGGTTAGTGTTCCGTATTGTTTTTTGGTTATTAAACCCTTTACAATCTGTAAAATAGAGCTAAATCAATAGAGAATCTGCTAAAGTGTAATATAGAAGAAACTGAAAATTTCACCCCTTAAAATAACTGACAACTGCAACTTCATGTTTCTTTTACAAAACTAAATGATCATACTTGGAAGTTCAATGAAATAAAACATGGACCTAAAACATATTCCTGACATAAAAGTGTTATATAACAATAACCTCGCAACGTGGTGAAGACATGTTTATGGTATAACCTTTTGCTTCCAGTTGCATAGTCCCTTTTTCCCAGCCACAAAAAGTAACAGTTTAATGCACTGCCAATCAAGTATATGAAAATGTCTATCTCAGTGCCCGATTAAACATTATTGTGAAATTTTTTCAATGTTGGAGTTAGAATTTCTATTCTGTTGAAAATGTAGTTTCTTCTCTGCAAAAACGTATGCTGACATGCAAAGTTTCTTTTCAATTTTAATAAAAATGTGAAAAATGTTCATTCATGAGGAGTGGGGGTTGGAGTTTTTTTTGCCAGAAATTATTATTCGGGTAGAGATTTTTATCTGGGACGCCCGATCAGCAAGAATTCCTGCTGTCCTGCAAGGTGTATGCATATACATTTTATCAAAAATGTGATATTTTTTCATTCAGGAAAGGTGGAGGGTTGGACATTTTTTGTCGATAATGAATAATCTGATCGATATGCTTATCTGGAAACCTGCAAGAATTTCTGCCAATTTGCAAGGCAGAAGTTGAATTTTTTTTTTCTGTTGAAAATAATTGTTATAATCGAATTTTTTTCTCTGAGAGGCCCGACCTGAAATAGCTTATGCCAACCTGCATGTTTGTTTTTTTTTCGATTTTATGAATTTTTCAACACAGAAGTGGGGAGTTGGAATTTTTTCTGTCGGAAATGATTCGACTTAGTCGAGTTCTTCAACTGGGAGGCCCAAACTGCAAGAATTTCAGACTTCCTACAAAGTCACAAGAGCAATGATCAATGAGAACAATTTGTTGACCTGCACTTTTGTTGAATAGTTCTTTTCAACTTTAAGTCATATACCTAACCCTACTTCGTTCTCCTGCAGTATTAGATGTTTAGAATGATGTGGTTTTAGTCCATGTAAAGAGTTCACTAAGTCGGTGTAAATTACTGGTTGAAAATGTGGAACGCTTCACAATTTTTCGTGTCATGCTTGCACATGGACCATGATAATATTTTCTGTATCAAATCAATTTTGGTTAATGTCCCGTGGAAACGAGTATATTTGCTGATATTGATGTAATTTAACACTTTATAAATATGCGTGCCATGTATATTATGACGACACTGATACAAGCAATTTAGTAGTAATAAGTCCAAGAAAATTCTACAAGTTTCTTTAAATCAAAAATATATTGTCCCTCCTTTTAAAATCTTCAAGAAGCGCCATCTGGTTGTATTTAGAAATTAGCATTATCCAAAGTTTAAATAGCATGCTCAAGTTGAAAACTTTTTATAAATACTTTTTAATAGAATAATTAATAATTTCACGAAGTAGGTAATACGAATTATGCCGGCTGCAATAATGGAGTGCTCAGATTTTAGTGAATTTCAGGTAATTTTTCTCGCCGACTTTCGGAGAACTAACCTCACTATTTAACCAAAATAACCTTACCCAAAGAAATATATATTTTCCCAGATTATTCAATTAGATCAATGATTTGGATATCAGTATTTGGTTTTTAGGAAGCTTTGAAGGCTATGAGAAAGCCTCATGATGTGATCGTAAGTACAATAAATACAGTAGTTCCAACAGATTCTTTTCATGCAGACGAGGTTGCCGCTTGCAAGAGTCTATATGAAAATTTAGAAGAAGGCAATATAAAAAGAGAAAAATTCATAAAGAACTGCATTTCACTTACCACCACTAAGGTTAAAAACCTCAAGGATCAACGTGAAGGCAACTCTGATGATATCCAGCTTTCCAAAGTACTCAGAGCTGAACAAACTAAGGTAGGTATAAAAATATTCTGACAACCTTCCAGTAGTTGATCCGAATTTTTTCATACTGGCAGTCACACTAGTCTGTCAGACCAGTATTCTATAATTGATTCATTCAGGGTGATATCATGCATCCAGACGTAAGTCGTAATCATTAATTTTAAGTAGCAGCATTCATGCAGTTCTTGTCGTTACTTATTACCTATTCTAACAAAGGTTTCATGATATCTTGTTCCTTCTTATAATAACATTCATCTCAAGTGTATTGCAATTGAGAATAATTCATAATAAAAAATCACTCTGGCTAAAGAAATTCCTATCAATATAAATTGTCAAGAATAAAATATGTGCACCAATAGTGACCTGGTCTAATAGACTAGTGTTTGCTATAGTTATTAAATACAAACTACCACTGGTAAAGCTGATCCTGGGAATATTTGGGAACATACCAATCACAAGACCTTATACCTCTTCAAATTTCCATAAAATCATAAATACATGCTTTTATAGTCTGACAGACTGTGTGCAAATAACAGAAGGGTAACATTTACTGAACTAATTCCCAATATATCTTTTTGTTTCAGTTACGTATGCTACAAGTAGAACTTAGCGTAGAAGATTTAATAAAACAAAGAACTGCCAAAGTGTTCAATGAAAGATGCAGAAGATTTTATAAACCCTTATGATGGCATGTCAAGAATTGACGGCTGTTTGAAGATTAAAGTGGAATAGAACTCTTGTCCTTGTAGTAACTTTGTTAATTGATTTTTTTAAATATAGTTATGCCTTATAATTCTTCTGAAATTCTCTGGATGAGCCATAAAATTGGCAGTATAACCCATATTTAGAAGAGAATTTCAGGCCTTGAAAAATTTCATTTATTTAGTTTCTGGGATATAGGAAAGTGAAGAATTGTAAAATGTATAAACATCAGTCTGTATATAGGTGTGACCCAAACATTTAACAGATATTGAATTTAAAAATTTATACTGGAAATAGTATATAATCCGTGTTCCTTTTTGATCAGATGCATTTCACTTGTGTTCCATGATGAACAGATTTCAACAAAGTAGAATACATTATGGTGATTCATTTAAAAACAATTGGTGACATGCTCTGGGGTTGCGATTGGGGAAGTAACATATGTGAATATACTTGTGATGCACTGTTTGGATCCTTTGGTGTAGTAATGAATATTACTCGAGTTTTTTCCCAACATCAAACCGTTACTTTAACACCTTGACACGTGTTTCGATCATCTTTAAGAGGAAGATCAAACTGTTTGATCTTCCTCTTGAAGACAATTACCAAGGATCATACCTGTTATAAACTCTACATGTTAATTGCACGGATTTTGCGATGCCAGTTCCAAAGGTTAAGCTGCAAAAAATGTTAACACATTTCATGCACCAAAAACTGTAGTATCCCCTCTGAAAACCATTTGAATTCCAAAGTTGGAATTATGTGGAGCTGTTCTATTATCAGAACTTATGCATTATTTCAAAAAAGTTGGCGATAATAAAAATGAATTTGATAAAATTTTTGCTTGGTCAGATGCTTCTGTAGCAGTTTCCTGGATTAAATTTCACCCATATCTGTGGAAAACTTTTGTAGGCAACCGCCTTAGCCCATATAAGAAAAAGTTCCACTTGATCATTGGTTTCATATCAAAACTCAACATAACCCCGCGCGCTACCTTCGAAAGTCACTAATAACACATTATGGTGGGTTAGTTCTGACTTTTTTTAAATCACCGGCATCTACGTGGCTAACTTTTTTAGCAGATATGATTGATAATCACACTATTTTCGCGGAAGAGAAGACTGGTTTTGTACTAACAAGCATTTCTTCTGAACGAGTTTTAGATATTCTGATTGAAAAATTTTCATCATTCACCAAAATTCAACATATAATTGCCACATTGCTTCCAAAAAAATTAAAATTATCGTTCAACTCATTTAATATTAATTTAAAATATTTGCATTCAGGTGCTCAGACAGTTCAGTTATTGATTTTTTATTTTTATAGTTTGCCTTTCTTTTGCAGATAAGAACGTGGACAGTATTTCGCCTGGTGATATAAAATAAAAAAAGCAGAGGACGAGTTACGACTGCAACAGCCTTCTACCAGTACTAGTATTGGCAACCAGAGCGACATCGATATAATTGAAAATGACTTGGGGCGTTATATTGGGAAATCAATCGCCGATCATCGTAGGTGCAAATTACTAGAGAATCATTGGACACCTTCAGAGCATTTTCAGTGGCAATATTCCGACAAAATAGAAAAGGGGAAGTTAACCAAAAGGTATTTATCGAAGAAATACTTGGAACAATTTCCATGGGTCATCTACTCACCGACAGGAAGAGGATTGTTCTGCAAGTTTTGCGCAATCTTTAGTGGCGAGACAGCTGGTCATAATAAGGGATCCACATTAGGACTTTTAGTTAAAACACCGCTAAGAAAATTTATTAATTGGCAGTAAAAGACGGCTATTTGAGTGGGCATCAGAACCTGAAATATGATAGTGTCAAGAAATTGCCTTCCAATTTTTTTACACCATTATCATAACCCGCAGGATGACGTCATTAATAAGTTGGAAACTACAAGGACCCAACAAATTCAGGAAAACAGAAAAAGAATACTTCCAAGTATTAAATCCATAATATGGCTTGGAAGGCAAGGTCAAGCTCTTCAAGGAAGACGTGACGATGGCCCTATCGATTTAAGGGACGATGAAGATGAGGTTGACCCTAATCCCTACAATTTACTCAAGCGACACCATCTAAACACATCACAAGAGTAACCTAACATCAGTTACACCTCTCGAAGAAGATGCAGTAACATGTCCGGATAATGCCATCTATATATATATATATATATATATATATTATTCGTTAGCTTAGCAACAAAAGCTGCTCATAATGGTCTGATTTAACTTCGGATACCTTGCTGGCGGCGTTACGTCGATTTATTGCAAGACGAGGGCTTGTTTCACATATATATTCAGATAATGGGAAAACAAATCAATTCCTGGAGGGTATGGTAATGGAAACCTATTGTCTCTCTTCATGGCTAATCTGTTCATGAGCAGATTTGAAACAGAAGCAAGGGAAGAGTCGGATTAGTTTCCACGAATCTAGATCTGATATGTGAATGATGTATTTGCCATTTTCAATACGAATAAGAGTAAGGTAGAGAATTTTGCCTCAACAGATTTGCAAGTATAAAATTCACGTATGAAATTGAAAATAACGAAGAACTACCACTCCTGGATTACTAGTTATTAAAAATGTCGATAAGGATCTAGAATTTGATGTATATAGAAAGAATATGGGCACTTTCAGGTATATCCCTGACAGCTCCCATCATTGCCCACAACAAACAATGACGGGACTACAATTTCTTGTCCATAGACTGCTCATATTTTTCTTGAGCAAAAAAAGGTATGAGATTGAGAAACAAGTTGTTAGGGAGGTGGCTGAAAGCAATGGGTATCCATCAAATAGTGGATACATTAATTAGAAAACAAGCGACCACAGAATGAGTGAGAAAGGTACTTTATAACAGGTTTCTGGATGCCTTCGAGAGCTTGGAAATCGAAAAGTGTGGAATGAGTTCTATGAATAACGACAAAGGTCTTATTTCGAATAGCCCTTTGTTTGGTCTTATACGTAATAATTCTAAATAAAAAACAGATAAATATTAGAGAAACAATGTAGGGGATAGTCACTAACATGTAGGAAATTCAAGTAGTTTAGCATAAGAACAATAACAGGTAGTAGTTAGGTAATACTAACGAGTAGTAGTTAGGTACCACTAAGTAATGTCACTAGCATATGAAAACACTAACATAGTAAAATTTAGTCATAATGATCTCCTGAGACGCTAACTTGGTTAGCAAAGAGACTGTAATTTTGTTCTGGTGTTGGGAAAGTGTTTTCAATAGATTCATTTTACGCTAGGGGTTCCAGTACGAACTATCAACATAACATCTAGTCAGGCAAATTTTGAAACAGCTCAATATCAACAAATCGTCTGGTCCCGCTAAAGTGCTCATCATCATACTTAAAAAGTGCGCTAATGAACTCGCATCAGTATTTTGCAGACTTTTCAACCTGTCTTACAAGGAAGGGGTTTTTCCTTCTTGATGGAAGATTGTTCGCGTGCAGTTTATTTCTTTAAATATTTGGACATCTTCAACATCTTGGGCGATCATCAATATTGCTTTGTCACCCATATTTGGAATAACGTAATCGAGAAATGGTTTGCTTGACCGTGTGTGACATGATGGTTTGCTGGCCAAACTTTGATGCTACGGCTTGTCGGATCATTTTTGTGTAAGGGTCTCCAGCTTCCCTGCAAGTGGCTGTCTATGGATACTTTTCGAATACTTTTACAATCAACGCTGGTGTTCCCCAGAGATCTATCCTGTCTCCAACCCTCTTTTTATTGTATATCAACGACTTATTGGAAAAAAAAAACAAGAATCCAATATATTGCCTTGCTGACGACAGCACACTTGTCTCGTCATTCCATTTGGATTCCAAGACATCGACTGCGGATGCACCGGCAGAAGGAGGTTGCATATCTTAATGAGGATCTAGAGGTGATTTCGAATTGGGGTGAAACTAACCAGGTTCAATTTAATACCACGAAAACTAGGCTTCAGTTTTCTCAAAAAACAAAAATGTCTGAATCAGATATAATAATGTTGGGACAGACAATTCCGCTTTCTGCTTCGATAAGTTTGTTGAGGGTTAAAATGGCACAATTATGTCGCTGGAACTGCAAAAGCTGCTTCTCAAAAGCTTGGAACACTGTTCCGAATCAGAAAACTGTACACACCTCAGCAACATTTGATACTTTATAAAGTTCAGGTGAGACCTTCTTTAGAGTATTGTTCTCATGTATGGGAGCCCCGCCCCTAAGCATTCCCTGAAGCTAATAGATTCCATCCAGAAAAGAACCATTCGCCTGATTGGAGACACGAACATCACTTGCAACCTTCATAGTTTGGAACTTCAAAAAAAGGTTGGAGATTTGTTACTCTTTTATAGATACTTTCACCAGGAGCGGTACATAGAAATACGCGACTATCACTATCATCTTCAGAAAATACGTGAAATGGAAATGCAATAAAAAGAGGGTTAAAACCAGTTATTGGAGTTTTAAAGGTTTGAATATTCCACAATTTTTAATGACCTGGAGGGAGGCAGAATTGTTAGTCCACATAATGATTTGTAATTTACAATTTTTTTATGTAACTGGTGGGGTCACTGTTTATCCAAAACCTGCCGTTCCAAGAATATGAAAAGAACATATTGTTACTTGATAATTGAATTTCCTTACTTAAAATGGTATGCAGGTTATTAATACTAAATTCCACGCTTTAGTCTAGTCTTATATAAGAGAGAAATAAATATAAAAATTATGCCATGAACAATATCTTACAAGAATAACCTTACAGACTGAATAAAGAGCAACAGATCTGTGGTCAAAATATATAAAAATTGACTACATTGATGTAGGAGACCAGAAGTTCATCTCTCTGAGTTCAGAAGGTTTAGCCTTGAATACTGGCGACTTTTTCAAACCCACATCATCTATGCTAGCTGTAGAAGATGACCTTTCCAATTCTTCCTTAGATTCTACGATGCGATCCACAGATGCAGACATTTCACGTTTTGCCAGTAAATTCGATAAGATCCAACCACCTGCAAANTTTTTCAAACCCACATCATCTATGCTAGCTGTAGAAGATGACCTTTCCAATTCTTCCTTAGATTCTACGATGCGATCCACAGATGCAGACATTTCACGTTTTGCCAGTAAATTCGATAAGATCCAACCACCTGCAAACAAAATGATTATAAATATTGGAGAATTGACTTACTCAAGCATAATATATAGATACAGCCTAAGAAACGTCCCTAAGCTATACAATTCAGGTCAAGTTACGACACAAGAGTATCACTTCCGTACCTACCTGTCAAAAATTGACAGATTGCTAACTGGTCTCATTTCCCAGGAAATTTTAAAGCGAATTGGTGTCAATATCACAAGTATAGTTTCTGAGCATTAAGTATAGAAGTGAAATTTTGTGTTCAAAATACCAAAGTATTAATGAAATTATTTTGAAGATGTTTGACTACTTTACTGAAAAAATTCAAGAGAACCAAAACTCACTTCATTCTCAGAGTTTATTAAAGATGAAAGAAACGCACACATTAAATCTCAATTTTCTAATGGGCAAGGAATTAACAGATATTTTTGGTTGAACAAAATATCCCCAAGTTCTTCATTTGGTTAGGGCCAATTGAGGTTTTCTGTTGTATCCCCCAGTAGGCAATTGAATTATAAGGTTATAATTTAAATATTTCAATCTTATGTAATGTCATTAATGAAGTACTTGCTGTAAATTGTAACCTCGAAGAATTTTTTATGTTGAAGTGATAAATGAGAAAGATGATATTTTACTAAACGTTGATGTCTTTTAAACAAAAGCTCTGCTCTTATCGCCAAACCAATTTGTTCACATATTTTGTTTTAATTGTACTCTAATCTGTATATGTTGTGAATAAAGTTATTATTATTACTATTAGAATCCAAATAATGATATAATTGTATTGAGAGTCACAGTAATGGAAATCTCTCTCAAATAAAGTGATAATAGCATATGTTTCTAAATAAGTCTTAGTAGATAAATTGAAAGGGTATATTTTTAGGAGAGGTTAGTTTTTGGGAAAGAAAGGTTTTGGTTTTCTACTTATCCATCTTGATTCAAAAAATGTGGGAATCTGTCAAAGAAAGGAAGGAGGCAATCAATTCCAAAAATTAACTCTATAAGATGTGTAGATTCCCTCATTTTTTGTATCAAGATGGAGACGTAGAAATCCAAAACCTTCATTTCCTTAGTAGATATATTTTGATGGTACAAATATTTACAAAATTCTTACCTTTCGATCTATCAACGTCGGTAAAGGCCCCAGTGAAATATTTATTAATTACTTTTCTGTTTGACTTAGGAGAAGAATGGGGTGATGTTAGAGGCGATGCTGGCAAGGATTTACTTCCTCTCCTTTTTTGTCCATCATATTTCTCCAGTGGCTGGGATCCATCACAATTGTTATTTTCTGATAGAGTGAATCCGTGAATCACTTTTCCAGAGACCATCTGACTGGCGACCCTGATAATGGAACTACCACATTTGGCGGCCTCACCTTTGAATCCATCATCAGTTCCAGATGATTTTATTTTCATCTGCGGAGTGGTTTGAGGAGGAGGGCTCACATCTAAAAATTGATAACATTTGTCAATTAAGTGAGTGAGGCGAAAAAACTGAAAGAATATAATGTGAATACAATTCATTAAGAATCAATGAAATAGTAGCAGAGCATTTAGTTTCTTCCCTTAAAAAAATATGGCCCAACAATGAAATTTCCAATTATGTTGCCCCATACATTTATGGACATTTATGGACCACTTTTTCTGACTGGAAGTTTGCAAGAAATGGGGGTTATCTGTTGAATAATAATGGAAATTATGTCTATTATACACATTTTTATGAAATGTTGCTTCATCGAAAAATAAGATATAATTTAAAAAATATCTATCTTGTAGCAACTGTTACTGAGCCCATTCACAAAATGTTACTCTTTTCTCAAAATTATCATCTAATAACTCTTGATGTAACTGTACTCAAAATCTGTCAATTTTAGGAGCTGTCATATTAACAAAAATTGTAGGAATAAAGTAGTTCTTCAAAATGGTAGAATAACATACTGGGTGTTTCATTTGAAAATATCAAGTTTTTGATATTCAAAGTTTGTCAAGTTAATGCCCCTGTATTAAATCTCCTGTTTGAGAAATATAATTTTCAATCCATATCGACATTTCATCTCACTCTTGGTATTGCATGCTTCAAATATTTCTGCTTAAATTCTATTCATAAAGTTTTTATGATGGCATTTACGGTTTCTTTCAGCAATAACTTGACAACGCCGCAAAATTTTCGAAAAAAGGAAATACCTCAGTTCAACGGTGAAAAAATTTACAGGGGGGGGGTCCGTTTAAAAAAAATGATGACTTGTATTGCCAAGGAACACTCTGTAGATTCGAAAATGTTTTTAAAATAAGCAACATAAACCATATAACTTTCATTAAAATTTTTTATCATACTCCTCATTAAATGCGAGATACTGTACTTCCTCACGCTAATGGGCCACCCTGTATATTAACTTAATAAAATGATTTTAATTATAGACAACTATAAATAAACTTTCATGTACCTTCTAGTCACTGTTGAGGATTTCCAATAAAAAAATGATCGTTTATTAATTTTTTAAGATCTGCATTATAAAAATGAAAATGCAATAATGAACATATTTGGAAAAACTGAGGTAAATGAATCAATTCTTGAGTCTAGTAAGCAAGACTTTTAGAAGATAGCTAATAATATGACACAGCAATATTTACTTACATAATGCAATTTCTGATGACATTTCAGTATAATACTCGATATAGCTACACACAAACTAATATTAACGCTACGCACCTAAGAAACTAACAAATGTTTAATGGATGATATTTGGTTTAACCTGTTATATCTAATATACAAATAATAAGCCTTCAACTAGGTCCTCAAAAATACCATTGGCACAAACAAGTGATATTTTCTCACTGAATGTTTTGCAGCTACTAACAACAGGTTGTTAATTCGCGATCATGTATAATTAAATTTAGCCAATGAAACTCGTTTAGCGATCCTACCATTGTTAGAATGACGTTATCAAATATTAAGATAATTTACTATCAGACTGCTTTTCCTAAGACATTCATAAACATTTATGTGATAAGCAAAACCACATTTGGTACATGAAATTCAAGTGGGGATATGAAAAACGAAATGTGGTAATCTATTTCAACAAGAATAAAAATATGTAAGTGTATTTTTGTGTAAAACTAATATGACACATTTGTTCAAATTCATTAAAAAATTATATTTAAGGTTTTCAGAATGCATCTTTCTCCATGTTACTTTGCAAAACTTTTATTATATTTCGGTTTTTGTAATTATAAGGAAAATGTTGAAGTATATTTTTGAAAATAAACAAACAGATTTTTTTGCAGAAGGTAAAAAGAGGGCCTTGAAGACTGAACTTTTCATGTCAATTCTCAAGTAGGTGCTTTTTAAGTCCACCCACCTCCTCTATCTAATACAATATCATTTTAGACTGACTTTCTTCTGTTTAAAATCTGTCTTTCCGTTAACCAGCTGTCGCACCTCTACGAACGACAACCCTCAGAAGTCGAAACTTGTGCGAGCTAAGGAATAACAAGGTCTTACCTTTTAACGAGTGATTCCTAACACGGGATGGACGATAGCAAGTGGAAATCGATCGTTTAGCCTGCGACTTGAACCACCGACTAACACGGCGATCGATTTGAGTGAGTGAACAAATCACCCACGTCGAACCGACCGGCTACCGTCCATTTCATAATTGACATGATGCACCAGAAGTTGAACAGAGTTTAACAAAAAAAGGTTTCACAGAACACGAAGCTGATAATATATTTATTTAGGAATTGGAAAGAAGAAATGTAATTTTACCTTTGCCAAATTGAAGATATTTCTGACAGGGAGCCGGATGCTGAGAAAAATCTTGTTTATTTTTGTTAACCTGGGCCACTGTAATTGTGTTTTGCAGATTGGCGATTACGTTGGAATCCCCAGCTGTGCTGACTGCTGATGGGCGTTTATAATAGAGCATGAAACTGTCATCCAATTCGGTTGGTGAAAAAGTACTTTGATCCAAGTCAAATCTGAAAAAACAATAATATACAGTTGAGTCCTAGAGAGAGTTTGCTACCTAATATGTATTAATATGTCCGATAATTGGAAAAGTTTTCCAATATTTGTGGAAGTACTTATGGAATTCAAGTATTCATTTTATTTTAATGATTTTTTTTTTTGATTTTCAAAATAGAGATAGCTCATGATAGTGGCGTTCAGTTATATGGTGGGCCAAACCGAATTTGTTTCATTGGTTCCAAAATAAATTTTATACAAATTGTGTGAATGTTAATTAGGGAGATATACAAGTTATTTTTGTGTTTTCACTCTTCTTTAAAAACCACCTCTGTTCTCTTTCTCGAATCCTTTTCGAATACTTCTGAAAATTGCACACAATTGTAAAAACGTACTTCGAAATTGAATTAATCAAAGATAATGAATTGACGTTTTTACAACTGTGAGCTATTTTTAGGAGTTTTCACGGAAGCAGATCTAGAAAACAAATATTTAACTAGAAAATTATTACGATTGTGGGGATTGGATTATGCTCACCATAGCTAACCAAAGTAAATATGCACAGACATTACTAATTAAATTTGTTGAACACATTAATGAATAACACGAGTACAGTCAAACGATCACAAATCATCCTAAAAATAAAATTCGATATTCTGATAGTGCCAGGCGTTGTTTATCTCTGGAAAATCCCCCTAGTCTGACTAGGTACTTCCTCATTTCTCGGAATGAAATTAAATATTATAAATTTAGACTAGTTTGAATGATTCTGGAAAAAAATAAAACTATAATATACTACACAGGAGGGTGGAGCTTACGGGTCAGATATATTATAGTTTCAAAGTAAAAAAAGTTGATATACTACATAAAACAAACAAAAAATATCTAGAAACTTTTTTCTGATTGACTCGGCCGTTACTTGATAAAGATCCATAGTAATTTCATAAACTACATCTAATGATTTGATCTACACAAACATTATTTTCAAAAATATCAATGTTTCGCTATCACAGTCGTGATATTTTTGAAAATAAAGTTTGTGAAGGTTGTCAGCTTTACTTTGTGAAATATCTAGAAACGTTGATCAACGGTATTTACGCAACCCACCAGTCGAATTATCGAAAATATCATCAAATGCTCAATCATTTTTGGAATTTCGATATGGTTGGAAATGTTTTTTGTGAAATAAAAAATTCAAAGATTTTTTTGCAAGACTTGCAAGACAGCAGATGCTACTGACACTAATTGAATGAAACATCAATGCTAGTGATGAAATTTAATTATAAAATTATATAAATTTGATTTAAAATGTTACAGTAATTGCAAAACCGTTTATCACTCTAACAACAAATTGGTTACTTAGTGACCTTTCGAAGATAAATAAAACTCACAGCAAAACCACTAAAACAATTGGCACACATCAACAAACTGCATAGCAATTTCTTATTTACAACAATTAAAGTTGGAATACAATATGAACCAGACTTTTCCAGTTCAATAAATATATAAGATGATAAATTTCCTGAGGCCGTCACTAAATTGTCATAATTATATAAACGATTTTTTTAATTTAACTCCCACCATTTCAATTACAAAAGCAATATCAGTAAAGGTTTTGTGGTTATGGAGATAGAAATGCAATTTGTCAAGATATTTGTCATTGGTTATATGAGGTTAACAAATGCCTCAACATAACCATTAGAATAAAAACTATAATATTATATCTATGCTATTTTTATAAACTAAAATGCCTTAGTGTCGATACATTTTTGCATTGCAGTAAAAATCTATATAATTCATGGACGAAATGACAATAAGACAATAAAATTTAGTACACTGACCACCTGATCTTCGTTTTTTTATGGGAAATGAAGATCTACTATCATTATTATCAATGTAGTAATTTTTACTTAGCGTAATAAAAAATTATAAAGAGGTACCACATCCTTTTGATGTCCGGTTTTTGAATTGAACGAGACACAAAATTAAAAAAACTTCTCTGGATATGCCAAATTCAACGTACTATATAAATATGTAAAATTGATTCTAAATCGACCGAGCGAGTTTTTCCACATTTAACATTTAAATACGAAGATCCCAACTAGAAATGTTTTCGCACAACCTCTCTCAAAAGTATAATCATCAGTAATCTTAATAATTTTGTCACGTTTGTCTATGGTTTACGACTTTGTAACTTCCTGACATTTAAATTTGTTGCAATCAAATGTTCAAAATAGAAACTTTCAATTGAAACAAAGTATGTCAAGACTTGAAAATAAGGTTCGTTCATTCCAGAAAGATTTGATAAATGCAGATGAATATAATATCGACAAAACGTACTGACCTTTTGAAAAACATTTTCCAAACCTCCATTGTAATAAAAGGCTCGAAAAGCAAATTACACAGCTCGTTGACCCACCGACACAGAAGAATGAACTAATGTTAGCTTGCCTAGGTTGAAATATATATCACCTCAGAAATCTAATAAGTTTTAAATTACAATCTTCAGAAGGGAAACCAACATTCACTTTCGTAGCAATTGTGGTACAAATAACGAAGCACTCTCAATATTGCCACCTTGGGATTTTTGATGATGCATATTTGAGGGTACTATAGGCATTAAACATGGCCAGTCAGGTGCCTGGTAGCCTTTGCTTTAGCAGCCAAGAAGACGGCAGCCGCCCTGTTTACATCTATTAGGAAGGTTAGTACAATCCAATTCGACGTTCGAGAAGTCATGGTGAAACCGGAGGATACATTTAGTACCAACATGCGAAGAAGAGTTTTCCAGCAAGTGAAGAAAATGCAACATGTCAAATTAATTAATAACCCAGTATTTCTAAAAGAAGGGTTCTCCTGAGCGTGATCCATGCACAGATATTATATGTGGCACTAGTCTAGCATGTTAAAAATCTGTTAAAATATGTTTTTCCGTTAATCAGGTGTCGCCCTCCTTCGAACGACTACTCTCAGGAGTCGAAACTTGTGCGAGCTAAGGACTAACGAGGTATTATCTTTTAACGTGCGAATCCAAGCACGGATATGTGCTAATGTATATCATCTAATAACTGATAATGATAAAGCGGAAGTATCTCCGGTAACAGAGGAACGCAGAGTTGGGTGAAATATGTTGTTCCGATTTCCACACAGCATAGGTGAATTAGAAATATGGTACGGCTATAAACACGGAGCCAGAAGAATAATCATTACCAAAATAAATATAGTTTAAAAGACTGAAAGACTAAAAAACACAGTTTTATAGCATACGAAACTAAAAAATGAATAATAAATATAGTTTAAAAAACTAAAAAACACGCTTTTAAAGAACATCGAACTAAAAAGTTAATTTTTTTTTAAATAAGCTTGAAACAATAACGAACGAAAAAAAACTAGTATTATTGTGAAAAAAGCGACAGGCGCTTGATATATAAAAAATATGGCACAAAGCGCCCGTTTTTTTCACAATAATACTAATATTTTTCGTTCGTTATTGTTTTAAGCTAATTAAAAAAAATATTTTTTTAACTTTTTAGTTCGATGTTCTTTAAAAGCGTGTTTTTTAGTTTTTTAAACTTTATTTTTTAGTTTCGTATGCTATAAAAGCGTGTTTTTTAGTCTTTTTAAACTATATTTATTTTATCTAAATTTTGGGATCAATCAGCCGTATATTGTTTAGAAAAATTACCAAAAAATGCACATCTCTTCCCTCAATAAAAATGAATCATTATAAAATTCTCTCTCATGATACTCTCAAACATGATATATTCCAGGGAAACAATTTTCTGGGTCGCAGAAATAAGGTTGTGGATGAAATCTATGAAGCTCTATTAATATACACTGTCCAGTTAGAAATGAACTAAAATTGCAAAATAATCATTCGTTGATGAAACACTTCAACAAAGAAATATTCAAGTCGATCTCATTAAAATTCATCAATTCACCAAGTCATTGGAATCAGTCACAAAACACTCCTTCATTGGAATTTAACCATCTTTGTATTGTTTATACGGACTTACTAACATTCAAATTATGTTTGCATGTTTGAATTTGCAAAAATATGATAGATTTAAATAGTCACTACACAAGGAAAATTGTTTTTTGTTGGAAAAATGGTATGTTAACTTTCCACAATCTGCAGAAAAATCTGCTACATTGGTTTTGCTAGAATTTTAATATGTAAAACGAGAACGGTTGGAAGACGGGATATTTCTAAGAAATGCATATATTTGTGAGAAAAAAACGTCCTTTCAAAAAAAAATAACGTCAATTATCTTACAACTATTAGACAGTGGAAGTGCAAATTTTTGGTCTTTTGTGAAGATTGAACTATCCTAAGGTTTAAGTATCATAAAAATAAATCGGAGAGATATATCAGCCTCATAATAATTATAACGTATCTGATGGAATTGGCAATACTTGCATATTACTGGAGTTCTATCCCAACACCAAACCGTCATGTTTAACACATCGACACGTGTTTCAATCACCAAGTGATCATCTTCAAGAGGAAGATTAAACTGAACTCCAGTAATATTCATTACTACACCAAAGGTTAGAAACAGTGCATCATAAGTCCATGATTGGCAATACTTGATGAAAATCCATAACTGTAACTTGAATATGACATGTCACTAAAAAATAAGAACTGCCTTTATGAAATCACTAAATATGGTATGTTTCAGACAAGCATATTACATAATTTCAATGCTATTTGCAAATTATTTCTCATAACTTCTAACATTTAAGAGCAATGGAAACGCCAGGTTAGTTTTTTTACCGGATGTTCGGATTTTCATCCATCACTAAATATTTCCTGAATAGAAATTTTATTACAAATGGTGTATCAGTATAGGAAATCTTTTCGACTTAGATCTAGTTCCATCAAAATGAGCTAATTATATAATATAACTGTAAACTTGGAACTATTGAGCGCCTATTGTCAGGAAATTGTGGCGTAGACATATTCCATGAATTGGATTATATTTATAAATGGATTTTATAAGTCTGCCAGAGA